GGGGATGGGGAGGTGGGGGGATGGGGAGGTGGGGAAGTGGGGAGGTGGGGAAGTGGGGAGGTGGGGAAGTGGGGAGGTAGGGCAGACATACCTCTGAGTTCAGCAGGCAGTGGAAGAGGAAGATGAAGAGGCCCTGGAGGAGGGAGGAGCAGAGTTAGAGTCACCTGCATTTGTCACCCACAAGGAGCTCCAAGGGCTCTTCCCTCACATAGCCCTGGGGAGGCACTGACACCTCGCCTGGGGACTTGCTGCCACACTGCAGCTGTTGTGACAAAATCCAGAGGGGGCTGTCCTGCTTGCCAAAGGTGCAGAGATAGGTGGATGCCCAGAAAGGCTTGACTCAGGGAGGGGTGACAACAATGGGCTGGACATTGGCCTGACACCCTGAAACCACAGACTCCCACCCCAATGGAACCTCGGGTACTCGCCTGCAGACCAGGGAGGACGATGACAGTGACAGTAAAGGACATCACCAAGCACCCAGACCTGCCAGCCAGCACCAGCAGACCCTCACGGAGAGGTCCCGCTTGGTGCAGGAGCACCTTAGGGCATCCTGCTGTGGCCTTGCTCCTTGGGAAGGACACTGGAGAGGACGGCAGAGGGTGAAGGAGGCCCTGGAGGGCACGCGGGCTGGAGGGGCCATCTGCCACCCTGCCCTGTAAGCCACGTGAGGAAAACTGAATGCTCATGGCAACAAGGAGTTGGACACCAGCTACTGCTGGCCATGGGGCACCCCCACTCTATGTGCACCTGCTCAGGGCATGGTGGGAACTGGGCSGTGCTGGTGAAGGGAACCTGCAGCTGTCTTCCCTGGGGATGAGTGGGTCTGAGGGCTTAGACTCTAGGTGTCCCACGTCTGTTTCTGAGGATGGGCCCCCTGCCTCCCCTTCCCACAGATGACATAACCCTGTCGCCTCCTCTCCCTGCCTGCCTCCCTCCTCAGAGCTGCTGGCAGACTGACCCTCTTCCCTTTTGGGCTGGATATGCCGCCATAGATGCTGCCGGAGCACAGGCGCCCCACACTGAATGGGGTCCCAGCCCTGGGGCTCTGCCTTCATAGAGCCCTGTCTGCTGTCCTCAGGCCTGGGGGAGACCCACACTGTGGGCTCAGGGTGGGTGGAGGTTACAGAGGCCACGCCCCCTGCACAACGGCTCATCAGGACCACAGTCCACTGGCCTGCCTGGCTGTCCTTGTGGTCTTTTACCTGCAGGGAGTTGAGTATGGCAAACAGGTACTGGAAGACCAGGGCCCCGTCGTTGACGGCAAGCACACCAAACACCCATGAGGTGCCCAGGATGGGCAGCAGCACAGCCACGGCTTTGGCTGTCAACCTGGAAGAGAGCGGTGAGGGAGCTGGGGGCAGGTAGGGTGGCCCTGAGGACCGGCCTTGAGACTGAAGGGACCAGAGGACCTAGTGAGGCCTGGGCCTGGGCTGAACTGTGTTCACCTGCTCAGGAAGGACGTGACCCTGACTTTACCCTGAGAGCTGGTGGGCAGGCAGGAGCTCAAGTATCATTTGGGGTGGCCCAGGACATAGGCAGTGGCCCATCCAAGCCTTGCGGAGTGTGCGAAGGCCAGAGAGAAACCAGCCCCGACTTCTGGGGGCCCAGAGAGGTCGGCAGCAAGCGCAAGGTCCCGCCTCTTGGCAATCCAAGAGCACCCAACCCTGTGACGAGAAGCCACGGCACTGGCCTCTCTCCAGGCCCCATGGCTTCAGYCATGGGCACTTTTGTAGCACAGACCTCGAGCTCTCAGGGGACGGGCAGCCTGGCCACCTCCACTGCTCGAAGACATTGCTGGAGGAGGCACCAGACCAGAGCTTGCTGAACCGCACTRCTGATGGCCCCATCCCCTCCCACACAGGGTCTATGGCGGGCATTGCTGTCTCCTTGGCCCACAGGTCCCTTGTACAGGTGGGGCAGGGGACACTCTGACCCCAGAGGCCCCACAACCCCCAGTGACGGCCAAGACGGCACAGGTTTCATCAGTGGCAGAATCAGAGGGCCTACAAATGTCCCCYCCTCCTGGCCAGTGCTGACCCCCACCCTGCCCACAACCCAGGACACCTCCAGGCAGCTTTCTAGGACTCAGATTTGCCCTCCCTGAGCGGCAGAGCCCCAGAGCCTCTCCTGCAGGGCATCCCCCCTCCTGGGCTTAACTCTGCCCTTTCCTCATTGGCTGAAGTCTCACCAAGACAGCCAATCGTGTTGCCCACTGTCCTCTATAGAAAGGAGCATGTGACTCAGGCCAGCCAACCAAAGCAAGTCYCTGGATGAAGACCACAGGAATCTTGCACAGGCCGGCACCTGACCCTGTCACAACTGCTTCCTCTCAGCCCTTGACACTTGTCCCTGTCTGTGGCCTTTCTGCAACTGGTCCCTTAGCCTCTTCTGTGAACCACTGGCTCTCTCTCAAGACAGGATTTTCTGTGGCAGCCTAGAGCAGTCCTGCAAAGGAGCCCCTCCCCATGAAGTAAAGCGGGGAGAGATGGCAGAGGTCAGGCACAGACCACCTGGGCACAGAGGTCCCTGAGGGCCAACTCTGCTCTGGCTCACAGCACTGTGCCCTAGTAGCTGGCCTTGGGTGCAAGGAGCCAGGGGCAACCTGGGCATGCTCAGGCAGACCATCCTACCCAGCCAGTGTCCAGGCAGAAGTGCCAGTCCCAGCTGCCACAGTGGGAGACACACCGGCCTCAGAACGTCAGGAAGAGAAGCCTCACCAAGGCACCCTCAAATGAGAGCCTCAGGAGACTGGTTCTCAGTCCCCACTGTGTCTACAGAGCCTGGGACGGAGGTGGCATGGAGTCAGCTCTCAGCACACTCCAGGGGCTGCGTGAGTCAGGGGACTGGCTGTCTGGCTCAGGGCCACTTCTGACATGTGCTGAGCTCATGGTACACAAATGCCATCTGTCCCGACTTCCTGGACAGCTGGGTGCTCCACAGCGGGGGCCTTCTGCCTTCACACATGGGGGAAAACCCAGAGAATAATGGGGCCCTGCTGCCCAGCGCAGCCACTGCAACATGCCTCAGTTTACCCCTCGTAGCTCAGCACAGAGACTGTCTTGGTCTCCCTTTCCACTCTGTGATGTCCGAGACCAACTTTGTCCTTTCAACACTGCAGCCTGAAAGTGCAGCACTGAGCCAGGACGCAGCCCTCAGGAAATGAGCCATAAACCAAGAAAGGAGGAACAAATGGACGAGTGTGCAGAAGCATACAACAGGGTGCAGTGTCCCTCCCGAGGGGCAGCAAGGCATGGCCATGACGAGCCCCTGTCATTAGCCCAGGACCCTTTCACCTATAGCTCCTGGCAATGGACCCCGTAAACCAAGGGCTGTTCCAACACGTCCGCTCTCAGGGAGGCTGTGGCCCTGCTCTGATGATGTGGGTACAATAAAAATAAACTCCRGTCCCTGGAAACAAGCGCCCTGCACGCTCCAGCCACGTCTTTGTCCTGGGAAGCTGGGGGACAGTGGCAGCCTGAGGAGCAGGCATCAGATGGGCTGCTGCTCCAGGGACAGTGCTTTTGCTCCTGAGGCTACAGCAGCAGCAGAAGGAGATGGGGGACGTGCACCTGCTGGGGGCTCTCTGGGGTCTGCTAGCATGGCCAGGCTGCCAGCGCCACCTCGTCAGTTGGCAGGGGAGGGGTCGTGGCCAGTGGAGGCAGCTGGGTGGCGCTCTCCTCCCGATGCCTCACAGCCCGCCCAAGGCAGTGGGCCTGGAGTGGGGGCTCAGGCCCTGGTGAGTCTCCCTCCCAAGGCCCCTGCYACGGTGCACCCATGGGCCCGCCCCTTGCCCCACCACAGGGCCTGGGTCTCGTGGCAAACCTGTCTGCGCTCTGCTGCTTTCCTGTGGGTTTGGAACTGTAGTCAGTTAACAGATCTGTGAAGAGCGGAAGCCAGCCCTGTGAAGGCCCCCAAGGAAGCCTCTTGTCCTGTTACCCACTGGACATGCAGCTGGGACAAAGACAGCCACCAGGCTGCACCTTGATAGGCGTAGAAGGGGCCGAAGGAGCTTTCAAGGTGGCCGCAGTTGCTACTTCCCTCTGCCTCAGAGCCCTGGGGGAGGGGCAGCTGGTGTGCCTCAGAAACTGACCAGGCCACAGGGAAAGTCAGGACAGCCCCGGTCAGACCTGGCCACTTAGAGAAGGGCAGCTGGTGTCAGCGGGCTRTGCTGGCTGTGCCCCAGAGACAGCCACCTGCCTGGACAGTCTCCTGGAAGGCCACGTCCCTGGCTGCCATGTGCAGCCTCAAGGCCACCAGGGCAATGCCACCCTGTGGCTCTGCAGACACTGACYAGCTGGCCTAGGCATTTCCTTAGGGGAGCAGGGACAGCTGCCGGCCCCTGGGGACCCCGTGGAGAGAGATGAGCAGGGGGCAGGCCTCCTCCCGGTGGGCTCTCAGGAAGGCAAGGAGGGAGAAGCGGGTCAGGGGTCGAGGGCACAGGAGTGTCCTGGGGACAGGGAGGGCCTGGTCCTGCAGGGCAGCTCTCCCTCTGCCTGTCGGTGCAGGAGGAAAGAAAGAGCTCCTGACCCCGGGAGCATTTTCCCTCCCTGGCACAGGCTGGACTCCCGCGGGGGCTGGAGAGCTCCAAAGGGCTGCAGCCCCTGGAGGGTTAATTTACAGAGTTTGGATTTGTTACAGAATAATTATCTCATGGATTCGTTGCTGGCTTGTTTATGGCTTTTGCTCTCAGATCAGAAAAGATACACTAGAGCTAGTCATTTACAGTCAGCCAGTAGCCTCCAAACTCCCGTGAGAGCTGCCTTCCCGCCTTCAGCCCTGGACCTGGGGGGCTGGCACAGCCTAGCATCAGGGTGGCCCAGGAGACCCAGGCCCACCAGTCCTATGGGTGCATCCCACCCTGCCAGGATGGATTCGAGGATGGCATGAGGCCCAGTGGTTCTGTCCTCTCACTCAGGCACAGGGTGCATCAGAACAGGAGGGAGGGGATCTTTCCCTGGATTGAACTGTTGCAGCCATTCTGCCACCAGGAGGCCACAGTCACTCTGGGAGGGTCACCAAAGTGGAGGAGGAAAGCTGCAGGGGTGGAGCTGATCTGGAGACAGTGCAGCCACCCAGCTGTGGCAAAGGAGGGTGCTGAGCTCTGCACCTTACCATCTCCTTGTGCACCAGTCCTAGGCCAGCTTGTGTGGGGCATCAGCAGTGCCCTAGAAGATATGGCCAGAAGGCCAGAGGCAGCAGGTTGCGTGGGCAGGACCGTCCCAGAGAGCCCGCTCCTTCTCCAGATGGCCAGCCCAGCACAGGGGGAAGCTCTGCTATCAAGGGTCTTCTTCCACACAGTGGACCACGAGGGGGTCCTGTGGTCATCCACACTCCACAGTGAGGAAAGCCAGGCCCAGAGGCTAATGGACTTCAGGGTCAGCAAATGGTGGGCCACTTGCTCTAGAACTCCCCTCCCCCSTCAGCCACCTCTCACCCTGGTGGGGCATTCCCAGGGGGACATTCACTCAATCCCTCTCTGTTCATGTGGGGGCTGCCAACCTGGGTTAGGACCTTGCCACGGGTCCCTGGCAGAGAACAGGGACCTTTGTGAGGACAAGGGCCAGGGCTGCCTGGTGAGGTCCTGAGGACCCTGAGCAAGATGAAGACTTGGGTGACAGCCATGGCAGCAGCATGGCCATCCCCTGTAGCCTGTGAGCAGCCTGGAGGGCAGCTTGACAGGACTGTAGAAGCCGTGGTCAACTTACTTGGAGGCACTGGGGTCCCCGTGTATCTTATAGCTGTCGGCACTGATCTGGGAGATGACCCTGGTCACGGCCACGAGGATGCCAATGTTGACCTGCATGGGAGGACCACCAGGAGGGACAGTGAGCAGGCCACAGCATTCACAGGGCCTCGGCATCCACCCCGCAGCCAGCTCTCCTAGGCCAGCTGGTGTTGACACTGGGACAAACGTGTCCCAGGTCTCTGGGTGTCCCCAGCAGAAGACACCAGGCCCGCCCAGGTGAACTCAGGGGTGCCAGGAGAAGAGCAGAGATAGGCTCTAGAGTCTAGAATGACCTCTGGTGTCTGACCTGAGCTCCCGCTCACCTCCCACCTGCCCAGGCGCCCAGACCTGGTCCTCAGAGACTCGCTCCCCTCATGGTGAGAGAATAAGACGCTGCGATGCAAACTGACCTTCAAGGGTGAGAAACCCCGCCTGGCAAGCCACCCAGGCCTAGCCCTCACTTCCTGCCTCTCATGGTGCTTGGACACTGTGGTGGTGGAGTTCATCTGCCCAGCACCCCCAGACCTGCCGGGAGGCTCCCTCAAGACACTGGAAGAGGCCCCAGCACATCTGTCCCTTCTCTCAGGCAGTTCTCAGGGTCCCGAGCAGGAGGGGCCAGGCGGGGMCAGCAAGGGGAAGAGGCCCTCAATTTATGTCTGACAGGATGCACAGCTGGGCTGTGGGTTGCATGGTGGCTGGGCTCTACCCCTTGACTCTGAATRTGTCTGAGATGCTGGACACAGTGAGAGGTCAGCTCCAGGCCCAGATCCTCCATGGGAACATGCTCCTGCTTGTGGCAACGACACCTGGCAGTGTCCCCCTCAGGCCCACAGGTAGGCTGCTAGCCTGTGCCTGCTTTGGTACATAGACACAGCAGGAGTCCCTGGGGGTGTGGTCAGGTCACCCATGACCTAGCTGTACGATGCCATATATCGCCAACAGTGGCCACATTCTGGGCCTTTCTGAGCCCCTCTGCTGGGCTTATCCTGGGGCCTGGGGACACTTTCCCTCTAACTCCGCGCCCACTACCTTTGCACTCCCAGGACCCCCACCTCCTCCCAGTTCCCAGGAGCCTTTGCTGAGGGCTYTCTTCACAGCAAGAGACACTGTCTGTGCAGCGTCCCTGGGCAAAATGGGACCCTGTCCCTGACCTGCCGAGCCTCTCGCTGCTCCCATAGTAGGAAGTGAGCAAGGCTTAACCATGTCTCCCTGCCGGGCACCCCGTCTTCCCTGGCCACCTCCATGCGGCAGCTCAGCYCCCCCACTATCCTCTCCTCTGTGGAAGGAGAACAGAAGTCTCCCAAGGGCAGGGAGAGGGAAGGACTCAGCAGGCACCACCCAGCCCAGCACTGCACAGAGAAGAGCAATGTGGCAACACGGCTGCCCAGCCAAGAGCTCACCCTGCCCAAGCCTCTGCCCCGAGCTCCAGCGGGAAGCACCAGGACCTGGGTGGCCCTGAGGGGGAGCCCAGGGCCTTCCCGGGACTGCAGCTGAGCCCCAGGGAGAGCAGGAGACAGCAATGCTATGTCCTTGGGTGTATCCTCAGGGAGCCCATCCACAGCCCTGCACCTAACCCTTGTGTGGGCACTTACCACGATGACCAGCAGGGCAGGGGCCACGAAGGCCCAGATGGCGCCACTCCCCAGGGAGAGCCAGCAGCTGTGGAGGGAAGCAGAGTGTCACCTCGGCACCTGGCCCGTGGCCCCATCTTCTCCTCCAWCCCCACTGCTCTCAGTCACAGTCCTGGGCCCCAGTCCCAGTGCTGATCCCACAATTACTTTTCAATCCCCKATAATCTCATGTCTCATTCTTGGAGAGGATCTTCCAGTCTACAGACTGGGTCAGCAACCTCTGAAGAGCCCAGCCAAAGCCCAGAGTGGGTTTCCACACAAAYTCTGCCGGGACTGGCCTCCTCCAGAGCACTTCAGACCGTGGCCTGGCCAGTGCCCTCCCCGAGGCCTGGTAGAATGATGGCCACCATGGGAGGCACCCTGTCCTGCCCACTTACCAGGGRCTGCCAGTCAGCTACACCTCTAGGTCACTGTTCTAATATCCTAGGAGGCAGGGTCCAGTTTGAGGATGTGAAATTCCTCCCTGCTCCAAGACGTGACCCCAGAGCTCAGGCAAGAAGGCCAGGTCCCTTAGAGTCCCATACCTTCACAGAGCCTATGGAACTACCCAGAGCCTCAGGCTCCCAGGAGATGTCACCCTTCTGGCCCCCAGAAGCTAGTGTTCCCAGGACACTGAGCACATTGATGGGGCCTGGCCAGGCGTGGGGCAGTCTGGCACATGGTGTGATGTCTTGGGGCTACCTTTAGTTCACAGCAGGTCTGGCCCACGCATGACAAAGCCCAGCCTGATTCAGGTCCCATTCAAGCCTACAGCATCCCTTGGAAAGGCTGTGGTCACTTCTATCCCACAGATGGGGAAACTGAGGCCCAGAAAGCCCAGGTGACCCTCAACATGCAGGGGTGCCCTGTCCCTCTTCACCCCCCCCCCCGGACCTCCTAGACCACGGGACACCAAATGCCCTAAACAGCTGAGAGTTCTGTGTGAGGCCATGCGTGTCTGGACACAGYCCGGGGAGGACACGTCTTGTCTGGACGCGCCAGGCGAGGAAGYGCACTGCCAGGACTCAAAACCAGCTCCCCGGGCTCCTGAGGGGTGGCAGCACCACCCAGGCAGCCTGCACTTCCTGACTTTCACCCAGAATGGTGCATTTATAGGACCTCAGGACCCTCCTGACCCTTCCTTCCCTGTAGCCCAGGGACCCCTGAACCGYGCCAGGCTACCCCCCAGCTCAGGGCAGGAGAGGCCAATGTCAGAGCTGGGTGAGGGGGTGGCCAACACCCATGAGCTATAGGGGCTCAGAGSAGGGCAAGTTCCCCGAGGTGGCTGGAGAAGGCCACTCTCTGCCATCAGGGCCTTAGCTTCTAGAGGCAACGGGATGGAGGCACAGCACAGTCCTCTGGCTCCKCCCCTCCTCYGGGCCTCCATGGCCCTCGCTGCCCGGAGCAGAGGCTGCTTCTCCCCACTTGCTGACACACTGCCTCCCGGCCCTGGGGTGTTCCACTGACTTCTCTCCTCCATTCAGCTGCCTCCAGCTGCCCAGCCCCTGGCCCCTCAGCCTGGCAGGACAGGCTCAGCCTCCTGGGACCCCCAAGCAGCAGCCCTCCTCTGAGTCTATCCCAGGGACAGGCCAGCTGTTCTTGTTGTGGAAGGTGAGCTCCTCCTGGCTGGCTCCCCCTCCCCTCCTGGCTCAGCTGGCCCAGCAGTGGCCTGGCCCAGAGTCCCCCTCCTGCCCAGCAGGGCATGCTCAGGCCTCCTGGGGCACATCAGCAGGCACTGGCTGTGCATGCGTGTCTTCACTGCACTATGACTTATTGGGCACTCACTGTATACTGTGCACTTGCTAACCACCTTTTCTCAGGGCTCCTGGGGCATAAACTCAGGCTCCATGGGGGACCAGAGGGTGAAAAAATTCCATCAGAGACTTCCACCAGCCATCGTCCTACCTCTGAAGGATACTGTGACACTCCCCCATCCTGCCYCCTGGGGGCGCTGTGACACCCCATCTTACCCCAGGGGTGCTGTAACATCCCCACCCCTCCCCTGGGATGCTGTGTCACCCCCATCCCACCCTCCAGGGGGCTGTGTCACCTCCATCCCTCCCCTAGGGCACTATGACACCCCATTCCCACCCCTGGGGCACTGTGACATCCCCATCCTTCCCCTGGGGGCTGTGACACCCCCATCCCACCCCAGGATGTGCTGTGACATACCCACCCCTCCCTTGGGGTGCTGTGTTACCCCCATCTCTCTCCTAGACACTGTGATACTCCCATCCCTCCCCTAGGGCACTGTGACACCCCCATCCCTCCCTGGGGGCACTGTGACACCCTGTATTACATGTGCCCAGGACTGTCGCACTGCCAGGGCCTGGGGCAAGGGACCAGTGAGCCCTGCAGCCAGAACAATGGAGGGCCAAGGCCAGCAGGCCTRCTAGAGCCCTTCCCCACAGAGGACCCTCCAAACACAAGACACTGCCGGGACACCTCACTCACTTGTCACTGGTCCCGTAACTATCCAAGGCGGATGCTATGGTGATGATGCAGATGAGTAGCGGGGACCCTGTGGAGAGGAGAGAGAGAGAGCTTGTCAGCCCGCCCGCTTCCTCTATTACACCAACTTCAGCCAGTGCTGGCCACAGAGCCCCTGCCCTCAAGGAAGCATGGGCAATGGAGGCCAGGCATGGGCACTCACACCCACTCACTCTCCCAGGCTCTAGCCAAGAAGCCCAGGAGTCTATCCCAGGGACAGGCCAGCTGCACTGACAGGTAGGGAAGCCCCACTCAGCTTGTGTGACCCGAGGCTCTCACCAGGTGGAGCTGGCCCAGAGGGACTGTGGCAAGAGCTAAAGGCATTTCTGTTATAATGGTGAGCCCCTAGGCATCAGGTGGGAGGCCAGAGGTTCTGCTGACCCCATAGTACACTGCACCCCAAGGAGAATCATACRCAGAGCCATACACAGTGCACTGCAACCCCAGGAGGATCATAGGACAGACCTCCTCAAGTGTACTGCATCCCAAGGAGAATCATAGGGAGAGCCATCCACAGTGCACTGAAGCCCCAGGAGGATCATGGGACAGACCTCCTCACAGTGCACTTCAGCCCCAGGAGGATCACAGGACAGACCTCCACACAGTGCACTGTAGCCCAAGGAAGATCATAAGAGACATCTCCTCATAGTGCACTGCATCCCCAGGAGGATCATAGGAAAGACCTCCTCAAGTGCACTGCACCCCAAGGAGAATCATAGGGAGAGCCATCCACAGTGCACTGAAGCCCCAGGAGGATCATGGGACAGACCTCTTCACAGTGCACTTCATCCCCAGAGGATCATGGGACAGACATCCTCACAGCACACTGCAGCTCCAGAAGGATCATGGGACAGACCTCCTCACAGTGCACTGCAGCCCCTGGAGGATCATGGGACAGACCTCCTCACAGTGCACTGTGTTCCCAAGAGGATCATGGGACAGACCTCCTCACAGTGCACTGTGTTCCCAAGAGGATCATGGGACAGACCTCCTCACAGTGTACTGCAGCTCCATGGGATCATGGGACAGACCTCCTCACAGTGCACTGAAGCCCCAGAAGGATCATGGGACAGACCTCCTCACAGTGCACTGCATCCCCAGGAG